CGCGATTGAAAAACAGCGCGCTCGCGAGTCGAGAGTGAGACTGGTTTTCTCGTATCGCTGGCTGTCGAAACGCAAGGCTGAGCTGGCAAGGATAATGGAAAACGGAGGCGCAGTCAGAGTTGAGCAATTATCGGTGGTTACGTCTTATTATTAATAACAATAATGACGCAGGCCAAAGCCGGCAGAGGATATCGCGTGCGCTCCCACGGACGAACTGCGTGCCTGGTATAAACGATGTACCCACCTAATAGGCATCCATGCCCCGAGCAAATTCCTTGCCACGATCCGATGTGTCTCTCTCCTCCTCCTTTCCGGCTCCTCTCCTTTCTCTCTTCGCTTTGCATCGCGCTCTCGCCCGCGTACGGTGAAATTTTCGAGAGCGAAACCCTCCCCCTCTTTTGTCGAGAAAGAAGGAAACCCGCACGAGAGCCACGCGATTCCATCCGCGTACCCGGTGGTTACTCGCTCCCCCCCTCGCGGATAGATCGTGGATAGATCGGACGACTATGGTTGTGCTTGCTCGTCTCGTGCACCGCGATGGCCACCAGCATCCTCTTCCATCGCGAGGTCGAGCCGGCCATTATGGATTTACGAATGGAAAACGGGCGTAATCGCGGAACAGGCGGGTTGTTTTGTTTCGAGGATGCTTCGTTATCCCGATGGGAATTCACGGGATTCACGCCGCGTTCCAAGGACCATTTTTTCCATCAACGATCGTGGAGGAATCGTGGCGATCGATCTTGGCTCGCGTGGATAAGAGGGACGATAGAAATCAGGATGCCGGTTGAATTAATCGTCCGAGTACGGGTACATACCGCGCAGAAATTAGACGATATCGCGGGACGCGTTCCTCTGCATCGCTTTCGAGAAATTTATCGGGCTCTCGGAACTCGAGAGCTGCTACGCAACGTGACAAGCACTGCAATACACGCGATAGATCGCGGATGCGAATCTCGACGGATTTCAGTTTTCGATCGTCGATTCCGCGAACGGAGCGTGGATGCGAGATGCAAGGGATGGCAAGATGGATGAACTGGAATCGGCGA